CTTGATTGTAGAACCGTCATTAAAATATTCCTGTTTCCTGGTGAACGAGGAACCGAAACACTTTCTTTGTCTTTGCGTCAGTGGAGCACCGACTCTGAACGTGACTATGTTTACAGATGCGTTCAGCCAAACATCCTTCTGCTATCAACTGCGTTCATTTAATTAACCTTTTTCAGGTCAGCCTTAGTCTCACTTGATGTCCTCTATCCAAAAATGAGATTTTCGGTCGTGAATTTTCAGAGCCACTGCTTTGTGCCTTATTTGCAGTATTCGCCAGAAGTCGTCCTGCCACTCAAAACAGCCCCGTGCAGCAGGAGGCCCGTTGTTTTTCTGAAGCGCTGCTGAGACGTGACGCTGCCTTTGATACTTGGTGCGTGTGCTTTTCAATAAGCGCATTTTCTGCACGGCCGTTATTTCGACATCAACCCCCGGGTTGAAAAAGTCAACGGGGTTGGGAACTGTCGCCGAAGTTTGTTTCTATAAATGTTTCCCAAATTTATATTTGTCCCCACTCGTGTTGGGAAAGTTTCTCAAAACATTAGAGGAGGCAAACTTCACTTTTAGCGACTCGTGTGAAACAATCCAGCAAAGTAGGTCTTTAAATATACATGCATTCTCTGAGGACATTTAAAACTTGGAAAACGCTGCCATTGAGCTTGTAGGACACTTAAAAGTGAAGGCGCAGTCACCTTGAGTTTTTTTTTAAAGATGTGTCATATTTAGACGTGTGCGAGTAAAGAGAGAAAAAAGGGGCTTGTTAAATATTGGAGATAGTTTGAGACCGGTGAGCACAGAAGGGGACAAGAGCAGCGTCCACTGGAGTGTTTCTCTCTGGACATGAGGTAACGCATGGAAAGTTCTACAAATCCAGATGAAGTGTATTTGAGGTCTACATCAGAACAGCCGTCACTGAGCAACAAGTACAAAGGTTCTGAGGGGCTTTGAGTTGTCAGCACACACGCCGACACTCAGGAAAGTGACAGCAGCGGCCAATGGGACAGTCAGATCTGATAGTACCCATAGTTCCTTGCTGTGTTTAGTTGGAGGGGGCGGTGTGGTTTGCCGTTGACTAATGACGTGTAATCAGTGCAATGGACAAGAGTTTTTTTTTCCCAAACAGCTCCGACAAATGATAATCATCACATGAACAGAGATAATCAACAAACAGGAATAGTCTCTGGAAATGATTAAATCGTGAAGCTCTTGATTTTGGTTCAAACCTTATTCGTGCTTTTTAAAACGCGATTGATCTCGAGTCAGTGCCAGGTGAGCTTTGGGAAAAGTCAATCAGTGGTATTCAGTTCGCAGTGTTTTCTAAAATGGAGTTTTTCCCAAATTCCTACAAAACATCTGGACTTGTCAGCGGTTATTTATTGGGGGTGAGGAGTTGAAGAATTTGTTACTAATCTTCTCAAGTTTCTCTAATAAAAAATAAAAAGCGGTCGTTCAAATATTCTTTGACTGTTAATATCCCGCGGCCGTTCACCCGAGTCAGAGGTTACGTGTGGGGGAAGCTCTGGATCGGGGGACGCAACTCACAATCCAAGCTATAAAAAAAGTATGAAGGATCAAAAGTAAAATCAGTATTACTGCGTTTTTTAAGCCGTAGTTTTTGTGTAGGTTGTGTTATTTTTGTCATCTTAAGCTCAGTGACACAACGACTCTTTGGCCAAATAGATCATAAGATCCACTTTAATCTAATAAGTTCTGGAACATTATCTCATCAACTCCACTTGGGACAATCTTATTTAGTCCTCGGCCAGGAAAAGGCTGCGCTTAGTCAGTTTCCTGTTGGCTCTGTGCTGACTTTAAGGTTGCGACACCAGGGGACTGGACTTCTCTCCTGCCAGCTTACTCAGGCCCTTGTGCGGGAACGAGATAACGTCACACGGCTGCTGACTCAGAGGGTCATTGTAGAACAGTTTAAAACAGACAGGTTGTCCTGGAGGTGGTTGCACAAGACGCTGCAGGACGACTTATTCTAGTATTATAATGCAAGGGTACGATATTTGGACGTGAAATAGTCACTCAACTTTTTATATAAAACAATTCAGCTGTAGGAAGAAGTGATGTTGTATTTTTTTTTTTTACAGTACAGCAGCTTTTCTGTCGTGCAGCAACTTTTAATTGGGATGAATTAACAAGCCAGTCCGTCTGTCACTCAGACTTGTGGGAGACGTGACACGACATATCATTTGTTTCTGCACAGGACGGAGTCTATTGTCTCGTCTCTGGTCGACAGCAGTGACTTATGAGAGCTGTCAGTCAAACACAAAGACGTCATCTAATTTAAGACTCTTAACATGAAGAGGACGGGGGAGAGAAATGAGGCGTTATTGTTCTGCCGCTGAAACAAATGGTTCAGCAAACTTATATTTTCTGTTTGTGCCCAGAAATAGAGGCATTGTATGTTTGGATGCAGCACAATTTGTCTCTGCCATTCAAGGTTTTGTTTTACGACAATGGGGATGTCACAATTGGGAATTGGAAAAAGTTTCCGCCGACATGTGGCCTTATATTTAACCCTTTTTTTGCTCAAGAACAACGAAGAATGACTCAGAATTTTGCAAATTCTGTGTTTAAAACAATCCAATCGACTCCACTATGGTTTGTAAAACATTCCTCTCAGAGATATGATATGAAACAGTTCACACTAGAACTGTGTTTTATATCTTGTTGACTTGCATTTTCCAAAATCCCCAATTTTTTTTCGAGGCAGTTATGTTGCTTTTAATTGCGTCATATCCTCTTTACCCTTTGCTTTGTCTGATGAAAACATACTTCACTAGCCAGTCATCTGTGTTTTCCTCCCACTCTCTGTGTTGGTCACTTGTAATGGATCACAATTATCCGTTGTCATTTGCTGCGTAACACAAATAAAACTGTAATCCAATACCTCATCCACCCCGAGATCTATTACTCAACATTTCTGTAGCCCATTTATTTATCTTGCTCGGTCATGACACTCTCTTTTTCGCTCCTCAGTGTTTCCAAGCAGCACTGAACCCAGCAGAATTTAAATTTATTCAGGATGAACTGTTGGAATCTGAATCCAGAAATATCTGCCTGGACTGTGATCAGCCCTCCTCGGTCTTATCTTCCTCAAGGCCAAATAAAAGCCTTTAAAAAAAACACTCCACTCTTAATGTTACGTGATTATTTCATCATATCTCATTTCTTTTCTTGTGTTTCTTGTGTTTGTGTTGCAGAATGCAGAAGTGTCTGTGTTTGAGGTGAACATCCGGTTTGTAGGAGGTCTGCTGTCCGCCTACTACCTGTCTGGAAAAGAGGTAAGAAGCCTCCTGGTGCTCCCTGTGGTGGTGTTTTCTCTCTCTCAACGCCTTTGTATTGAATCTGACACTGAAGAGGGATTGTGCTGTTGGCTGATTGATGAAAATGATGCTGCAGAGCAGAGGAGATTGAGTGAGTTAATGAGTGCCTTTCTATGCTCACTAATATCCCCTTTAATTGCTGCTGGTACAGATAAATGTATCCCATTAGCGAGCGCCGAGGTAAGTTCTGTGTGTGCTCTCCTCTGTGATTCGATTTGTTTGCCTCCAACCCCGACCAGACTATCGCTTAAACAATCGATCGCACGAATAACAGATGATAACCCCAAACGTTTTTGTTGTTGTTTGTTCTCGTCCTCTGCGGTGGCTGAGTGTAGGGCGAAGATGCTAGAATCGTTAATCGATGAATAAAAGTGCTGCTCCAGAGTGCGCAGAGAATCCACGGCGCCCCTCACCGTGCTCGTAGAGACAGTTGTCGTCTGCGAGCTTAGTGACAAGAGGCTGTGAAAATGTCACATAGGTATTACAGTCAGGTCTTGTTCTGCTCTGCCAATGTGGGGATTTGTGTTAATCTCACTTTTCCTTAATATCTCCTCCTCTTTATCTCTTTTAATTACACATCTCAGTCTGTTAACGACTGATACTGGAAACCAAAGAACCGACAAGTCTGCAGAGAAGCTTTTAAAATCCCCAGAACCTTAAAACCTGCACACACACACACACATTTCTTTTTTTTTTTACTGAGAGAGCTCTGCTCATTTCTGTTTTAAGATAATGCCACAAAACAAGATTTCACCCTGAGTGACCTGCACGTTTGATGATACCTCTTTTCTTTAACATACAGATGCAGGTTTAAACAGCCTCTTATATGCACCTATAGCAGTGAGCAACTAGACTTTTGAGGCTAAGTGCTTCCTAATTAGCAGTGAGAGAGAGAGAGTGCAGGCGCGAGTCAGATCGGGAGCTCAGTTAGCAAAACCCATTTACAAAATCAATGAGTGCTCCATCGCTTCGGAGCGCACAAGATCAACAGGAACATTATGTCTTATTTGTCAACTTCTAAGTGTCGAGACTGCGGCCCCGAAACTAGCAATAATAACACAAGGGAAGTTCGTAACGACTAATTTAACCAAAATTTCAATTTACACTCTTCAGTAGTAAAAGTAAGAAAACAATCAGAAAGCGATCAAAGCCAAGCACGGTGTTTTTTGGGGGGGGTTCACAGTTTCTACAGATAAGTGGAGTCGTATTGTTGTGCCATGTGTGGCTGATGTTAGCATTGCTAGCACCAGTAGCCTGTTTAACGTGATGCTCATTCAGTAAATTAGAGTTGAATAGACGATATGCCAAACTGAAGACTTGAAAAACGGGTGATGCAAAAGATTATTTTTTTTTAAAAAGCCCTCAATCGCTAGTATGTTTTGATTTGTCCAACAAAATCTAAATACATCAAGTTTAGAGTCCGGTTGTTCTTTAAACCGATCGCCCTCTGTTTCCTCGATGCTTCTTCTTCGGGATGCACAGTCGGAACTGTAGCTGCTCTTTTGAGGAGAGCAGATCGTCAGATCTGATAATCGTCTCAACAGGCGGGAAACAGTGAAGCTAAACTGTGACAGCTCATCGTTTCTCAGCCGTCACTCTTGGCTCCATTTCTCTTTTTTATGAGTCATTCCTCATATCACCTGAGAGGTCCCTCTCCCTCAGCCTCGGGTCAGGGACGCCTCAAGGATGGAGGAGGTAGACGGATGGGCTGACGGGCGGCCTCGGAGCAGTGGAGGCTGCTGATGGACAGGGTGTCTGAATGTTCCTGGTGGTTTGGCACTAAATTACTGGTGGTGTGGTAGGAAGCTGGGGGGTGGGGTGGGGGGGGACTGCTTACAGCATCAATACCTGCTGGGTCCAGAGGAAGCTGAGCTCACATTCATCCGTGCTGTCGATATTGGGCTTTAGTTAGAAATTATTTTTATTCATTTAGACCAGAAACTTCCTCCGATAACATTATAGCGTCTCCTTCATTTCTTTTGTGTGTGAGTGTGTGAGGGGGATGATGGCTGAGTGATGAAAGGTGATAAGTGACGAGCAGAAGGAGCAGGTAAAGAAATGTGTGAGTCGCTCTTTGTCTCCCTCCTCGTCAGTCCTTCTCTGGCTCTGACTCAAAGAGACCCGGGCCTTTGATGAAAGTGTGATCAGTAAGAGTACAGCTGGTACTTGCTGTATGCACCCTACTGGCAGGCTTTTAACGTCCCTGCCTGCATACAGATGCACAGCATGTAACCTCATCTGGCTGCAGACGGGGGAGGAGGGGGGGGGGGAGAGAGAGTGATGTATGGAGTGATGGGCAAAATAAAAGGTCTCCCGTCCCTCTGCTAATCCAAGCTAAGTGCTTCAAGGATGGAAGGGCAACTAAAGGACAGCCAGCAGCAAAACTGAAAGGAGTGCGTTGGAGGGAGAGGGTGGTAATTGACGGAGGAAAGGAATTTGAAAGAACGAAGAAAAAAGATTTGAAGTGATAGACATCAGAAAATGGAGAAACCAGTTCTTTTGCATGTGGTAACTTACGTATACGTTAGTTTGCCTGATTATGCAAATACTACTGAAGGTTGAGATCTGGGTCAGAGTAGAACCCAGTACATTTAGGGGTGGATTCAGGATTTGTTTTCCACTTTCTTCAACACTGTGAGAAAGGAGGTTTTTAAAGAAATGTTTGGTGAAGTGATGTTATCGTAGTTATTGAGCCGCAGTTTGTTTAACGGTGTTTAATCGCTGCAAACACAACGTAAACCTGAAGTAACGTCTTCGTCAAGTGACTGTCGTGTGTGACATTCAATTGATATCATCTGTGAATCAATTTCATTTGGCCACTTTTCGTCATTTCCAAACTTGTATCCCCCAACGATTGTAACGAACAACAACGGCGACGCTTGGTTTTGATGAAATTGAATCCCAATCTCCTTTAGTTGGTGTCTGACAGAGTAATCTGGTGATGAGTGTCCCAGCTGCCTCCCTCATTCTGTAGAGAAACATAGATTAACCTGGAAAACCAGAGCAGAGGTTCAATTCCCAGGTTTCTTACACACCTTCTCCTGACACAGAGGCAGTCATGTCACCTTAGGATGGAGCTTGTGAAGACATAGCTACGACTTGTGCATCGTGTGCTCGGTGCCCAAATATATATAATCAGGTTCCACACTGACGTTCTTCAAAAGATTTTCAACGTTTGAGGTCCGTTTCATCACCTCTCATTCCAAAGTTACTGATTATAGTAATTAGCCCTCTGACTGTGAAAAGATCCCTTAACGAACCAACTATATAAAAAACTGGGATTTATTCCACTGCCTGTGCTTCATGGAAAAATACCTTCCTGAGTCCTTCTGGCTTTTTATGGTGTTTTCAGCACACAACCCCCCCCCCCCCCCCAGACAGTTTCCTGTGGGCTGCGGAGTGATACGTCCTGTTTGACTGTTATGTCAAGGAAATTGAACTCAAAACAAACCAGCAATAAAGCGACACGAAGCTGTCAGGACAAATGTATGATTAACTCTGAGCTTTATTGATAATTAAATGATAAATATAAGAAAATACCGTGTTTAAACCATGAGTCAGAGATCTTTTATTCACAAAGCATCTAAGAACCACAACCTCGGTTCCCCGTTCAGTCTGAAAATCTTTGTATCAACCACAGGATAAATGAACAGCAGATTTTTTTTGTGACCCTCATTTGTCTGCAGAAACGTTTTTTGATTTCCACTGAACCACACGGATCTGAACTCGGCACTGGGTGGTTGTTCCATGGATTCCTGTGGCATGAACAACAGTAATTAGCTGAACTTCAGGTTCTCGTCGTCAGGCCTTGATCAATTCCCTGAAAGGTTTAATTGTCAGTGATTGATCAGACGGCACGAGAGGCTTCTTAGACTCGCACGCCCTCGGTCCCCTCCGCTAATTAATTGGTCTCCGTCAAGTTTGCTTTCCCCAAGTAGCGAAAACCTCTGCAGCTCTCTGATCTACAATCACAAAGGCATTCATACCCTTGTGATCAAATCATACAATTACTTATTACTGATTTAGTTTCAAATGGACCGGACTAAGTTAGATTCAGTCTCACCTGGGATTTCATGGTTATGTCGCCATAATCACTGTTTTTCAGTTTCCCATATTTCCCTGTCATCCTATGACGAACGTTATCCACAGAGGAAAGTCTCTTCTCTCGTTGTGCCGCCTGTGTTTGGACGCCTCTGTCGTTCGCGAGGATGAGGATGATGATAGCAGAACTTACAAAGATCACGGCAGGGAATCTCAGTGGCAGAGAGTGACTGACATATCGAGAAACAAGAAGACAAGCCTGTCACTGAAGTAGGGGAGCAGCAGTCTGGATATAAACAATGTTTTTTTGTTTTTTTTATGTGTTGCTCCACCATATGTCTGACAGGGTGGCAACCCGAACAGCTGCGAGCTACAAGAGAAAAAAAAATCAGATTGTGTGGCCTCCTTTCTTCACTTTATCACATGTGCTGGTGACAACTTTGTGAAAACTTTCACTGAGACGCTTTGTCCTGTTTTGTTATTTGATGTCCAGCAGGGACAACATGATGCACGCATGGAGAAGACACATGTAAGCTGAGTTAATTGCACCTAAATGGATTTACTCAGCTTCTCACCTGTAAACGGCTCATGGCAGAGCACCAACCGGATTACTGCACTGAATCGAGGGTTGAACCTAAAGATTCGATTACTTATTGTATAAGATGACGGGTGATTCACAGCCCAGTGTTTACTGTTAGCCCTGGGTTAATGAATAAAAAGAGGTTAAACCGGCCCATGGCTAGTGTGGGAGTGTGGAAAACCTTAAACCAGATGTGTTCTGAGAGTTCGTCACTGATACTAATACCTCTTAACTTCTGTTTATATCAACTCTGCATGGAGGTGTTAAAAATACCCACAACCAGCACTCTCTGGTGCTGCGTAATGATGCTGCTGATTAGAGACTAACACGTTTGCAG